GCCGATGATGGCATCATGGCTGAGCTAACAGCGAAGGTCCCCCTAGCACTTCTAGCATGAGCGGAATGCATGGCGCGTCGCCTGACTCGAGCCACTCCCGAAGAAGAAGAAGAAACCCTTAACTTAAAACCCTAAACCCTATAAAAGCCCAAGAATCTGGATGGTAAACCCCCATGCGCTTGAACCCTAAACCCCTAAATCCCCTAAACCCTATAAACGCCCAAGGCTCTTGATGGTAAAACCCCCAAACCCTAAACTAACCCCAAACCCTTCAAGAAAGAAGCATAGTGAACCCTAGAAAAGCCCAAAAGAAACCCTAAACCCCCTAAACCCCTAAACCCTAAACCCTTTAAAAGCCCAAGGCTCTTGATGGTATCCTTAAGAGCCCTTAATCCCTGCTTCCTATAGTCCCTAGCCCCTAAACCTTAAACCCTAAACCCTAAACCCTCAACCCTATAAAAGCCCAAGGCTCTTGATGGTATCCTTCAGAGCCAGCTGCTCCTCGGCTCGCGCGGCCTTCCGGGCTTCCCAGTCGGAGGCCTTCTTGCTGCAGCTCTTCTTCCTTAGGCAGGTGCGGTTTCGGGTTTTGGGGTTTAGGGTTTAGGATTTTAGGGGGGTTCAGGGTTTAGGGGCTTAGAGTTTAGGGTTTTAGGGTTTAGGGGTTTAGGATTTTAGGGGTTTAGGGGTTGAGGGTTTGGGGGTTTGGGGTTAGGGGTTTAGGGGTTTAGGGGCTTGGGGTTTGGGGTTAGGATTTTAGGGGTTTGGGGGTTTAGGGGTTAGGGATTTGGGGGTTTAGGGTTTGGGGTTTAGGGGTTTAGGGTTTAGGGTTAGGATTTTAGGGGTTTGGGGGTTTAGGGGTTTAGGGGTTCAGGGTTTGGGGTTTAGGGGTTAGGGTTTGAGGTTTAGTGGTTAGGGGGTTTAGGGTTTGGAGAGTTTGGGGGTTTTGGGGTTTAGGGTTTAGGGGTTTGGGGCTTGGGGTTTAGGGGTTTGGGGTTTAGGGGTTTGGGGTTTAAGGTCAAGGGTTTCGGGTTTGGGGGTTTAGTATCAGAGGGCATGGGGGCTATAACTGGTCTTATGATCAAGACTCAACATTAGACAAGGGGGTACCCCAATACAACTCCATAAAGGATTCCTAAGTTCTAAGCCTTAGATCAAAACACCAACTTCTAAAGCAGAGTGCCCCGCTTATGAAAAAAGAATGGAGAGTTCAGATGCAAGCATCAGCTCTGCCAACATCTTCTTGTCATCCTCGATGGACTCACCCATCTCGCCCAGCTCGTGCTTCATGTTAACGACTTCCAGCTTCATCTCACCGATGTTCTCCAGGGCAGGGGTGGTGTTCGTATATTTGGGTTTCAACCTACCGTTAGTGGGCCTTGTGATAACGTGAATTGGGTTAGAATAAGGGCCCCACTCTTTCGTGTCGATGTGCGGGTCATGAACTGTTCCAGTAGAGTCTAACCTATACGTAAGTTTAACCACTCTTTTCGACAACCCTAGTAGCCCTAGTACCCCTCACCCTAGCCGACCCAGAGTTCTATCAACGGCGGTTGAGCCTGGCACAACCCTACAGCAAACCCTAACAGTAAAACCCTCAAGTCAAACCAAAACCCTGAAACCCTCACCTTAAATTGCCAAAATGACCGTAAATCCGAAAGGGCGAGACCGCTCCCCCAAACCCTCGCCCCCCTCTAGAGTTGCTACAACTCCTTCATCTTCCTCTCGAACTGGTTCAGGAGGGACGAGATTTCGGTCCTGGGCGCGGCTTTCTGGGCTCTGCGGGTTCTCTCCAACCTTACCTAGAGTCTCCATTGTAGTTCCTTTTTTGGGGTTACCTTTTAGGATCCTAACAATAAAATTGGTTAAACCAAAAAAAGGAACTACAATGAAGACTATAGGTATTTCCTTGTTATCTTAGTTCCTTGTTTGTTACAGTTTAAGTTAGGGTTTTGGGCTTGGGGTATTTTCCCTCTCGCATGGCTGAGATCTCTGCCCACACGCGAAGTAGGGCTTGGGGTTTTAGGGTTTAGGATGTCGGTTACCTGGCCTTGAATAAAGGGGTCTACACTATGAAATCAAAAATAGATGGCTTGACCAGAGGATCTATGTTGAAGAGCATATTGAGAACGCTAGGCATAGCTGCATAGCAGCTTCAATAGGTACCACAGAAACTCGCAAAGACTTGCATCCTAAAGCTTACGCTTTAGAAACACCATAGGCCACCACAACATCACAACATCTGTAAGATGGCTTCTGCAGGGCCCAGGTAGGCCGAGAAACCGCCAAACGCCGCAAGCCTAAACAGTCAGACTGCAAACATAAACCTGCAAACCCCCACAACCCTTAATTAAGCCTTAAACTCCTTAAACTAGCAAGCCCGAGGAAGCCCTCCTTACAGATGGAAAGCCTGCTATGGCCTGAACCCCGATATATTTACATACTGTAAAGTACTCTTAAAGGAACCCTCAACCCTAAATCCTAATTCCTAAACCCGAATTCAAAAACCCAAAGCCCTAAACCCTAATTCCTGAACCCTAATTCCTAAATCCTTAAACCCTAAACCTTAATTCCTAAACCCCGAAACCCTGAAAACCCAAGGCCAGGTAAGAGCCCAAAGACTTCTTGGCCGTCTTCACCTCTCCGTAAGCTTCCACTGAGGTGTCCTCGGTCTCGTTTTCTGCCTGCGAAATTCCGGCGGAAGAGGTTACTATGCTGTTTTATACAGGGTTCAGGGTTTAGGTGGGTTTTAGGGTTTATTGGGGTTTGGGGTTTCAGCACTCACAACTGGGACAAGCCTGGCGAGGTTCCGAGTACATCGACGATAGCACATTGGCCAAGGGCAGGCATATTCACCGCGCCCAAACTCACACTCACACCCTAATTAAATCGTCCCAACACAACTCGCACATCAAATGACCTCCTTCTGACTTTCACGATCCCGGTCTGGCTTCCAAGGGGTTTAGGGTCTCAGGAACCAGGGCTTTATCGATGTTATCAGGTTTTTCATGGCTGTAGAAGTCTTCAAGCATTTTGTAGGATCCTAGACCGGCTCGAATATACGTGCATTACTGATTATGCTTCGAAATAACAAGTTAAAGCCGTTTTGGCTGAACTCATGATCAAACTATCTTGGGGCCGAAAAGCGCTATCATTATCACCTAATTCTTACTCATTCAGACCTCTGTACATACTCACCGTTATTACCCAATCCTCTCCACCCTGATTTCTGAAACCCCAAAGAGACCCAAGGGCTGTCTTAAAAGGAGATACCTGGGACACTAGGGTAGAATGCAAGGTTTGCGGAAAGCAGTGCCTTATGTATAGCTCTATATATATATATATATATATACAACATGAAATTGAAAAATAGAAATAATAAGTATGTTCAGCTTGGTTGTTGACACCTATCTTCCTCCAAAAAGTCTCTCCTGTATGAGTAGGTTCAGGGTTTAAGGGTTATGGCACAGGATCTGAAAGCAATCGCAATGCCACCTTGATGTCTTCCACGGCGGTGTCCTTGATTTCGGAGAGCATTCCCACGACATAGCCGGGATCTGCGGCACTGCTCTGGCCACTGAGAAAAGCTGTCACCTCCGGCATAAGGCTTGGAGTTTGCCTTTGCTGACGGGGCTCGTTCCTTGTTTGGGCTGCCGCGGCTTCAGGCTGGGAGTTTATTTTTTGGCTGGTTGCTTGGATGTTGGAACAGCCTTCGGCAAGCCTTTGCTTACCGATTGGCGGTTTTCTACTTGCCCGACAAGAAAGGTGAACATTACCCACCGGAGAACCAGGGCAGACCAGTTCCGCTCCTGGGTTTTAGCCCGGTGACCTCTTAGATTGGTTTGGGTATTCTCTCGCCGGGACAGTCCGGTGCTTGTTTACATTCTCTGGCGGACTTTACAACATGAGCCCTTAAGGCCGCAACCTGAAGCCTCACACTCGGCAGACTTGAGACCGGATAATACCGTAGATGCCCTGACCCCTCAGCCACGGAACGCTCAACTGCAACACTCCCAAGTCCAGAAACATGTGACATTCGCAATTCTCAACCCAGGTAATCGGAAGACATGCTATCCAACAAAAGCCAGAATCGACAGCTACATCGGAAGACATGCTATCCAACAAAAGCCAGAATCGACAGCTACAGTCCATCCGAAGCTCGAGAGCCTAACCCAAAGGTTTCTACGTACTGTTGCGGGGGACACTTCGGTAAATCACATCCAATAGATGGTCTTACTATAGAGACCCTACATTCTACTATATAGGTACCCTAAACCCTAAACCCTAAACCCTAAACCCTAGACCCTAAACCCTAAACCCTAAACCTTATATAGGTGCTTAGGATCCTTGGGGCCTCTGGGTCAAAGAACTGGCTAAACCTCAACCCCGAAACGCAGGGCCTTCTGCTTCGCCTCTGTATCAACGCGGCTGGCACGCTCCACGGCACGCAGCATTTTCGAGACGGACTTGGATCCCTTGGCCTCTTGAGGGAAGTCGGGCTTGACAAGTGCAATAAAGTGACATGGGTTTTATAAAGGTGCTGGCAGACCAATATAGGGTTTTATGTAAGGGTTTTGGCACAAAGAGTTTAGGGCTTCGGGCTTTGTGTTGCGAGCTTGTGATGCGAACCCGTAACAACAACCCAAAGCCCGAAAACCAAAACCCCTTTTTTCCGTTAGCCTTGACAACCCTAATAGAACCCAGGAAAAAAACAGCATGAAAGTCCTATAAGCCCCTATGCACACACATGAACGAATACAACAACTCGTTTACGAAACCCTTTTACAACACCCATAGCAAGCCTGGTCTACCCAAAAAACTAAAACCGGAGCCTTTTTGCATCCGGTCTGTAAACCCTAAACCCCAAAACTAGACCCTAAACCCCTAAACCCAAAACCCTAAACCTGAAACCCTAAAACGCAAAACCCTAAACCTTAAACCCTGAACCCCCAAACCCTAAACCTTACACCCTTACACCCTATAAACCCCAAAAACCCTAAACCTTAAACCCTAAACCCTAAACCCAAAACCCCGAAGCCTGTTCTTACCTATAGTCTCCATTGTAGTTCCTTTTTGGGGTTACCTTATAAGATCCTTAATATAGAATTGGTTAAACCAAAAAGAG